TATATATATATATATCCATTATAATTTCTCATAACTTATTATATCAATTTTTTTCACTTACATCTTTGAGTTCGTATTTTGTATTTATATTTCCTGCTACCGCTGGTATGATGGCATTCATAGCTGATATTGATGATGATATTCCAAAACTGATAATGATAAAAGATTTATATTATATGAAATTTAACAAATAAAATATAATTTGATCTAAAATAAAATCCGTAACAATTTAAACTATAATATAGTAAGAATAAGTTTCTATCTTTCCCTAACTATGCAGAATTAATCGACTTTTCTAATTAATGTTCTGCTTCATTTCTAGATTTTTTTGTGATAGTAATGTACAAATATATGTATAAAAATAAGGAAATACTTACTATTTCCTGAGATCCATCCATTTGTTTCTAATGTAATCAAATGTAAGTGACCGTCCGGCAATGTTGCTGGCAACCGATTCAAAAACTCGAGTAGCATCCTGTTTTCTGATTCCCGAATTTTCCATCACAGCCCAATCTAAATATCGACTCAACAACCATATTTCTTTTGTGCAGGATAATGCCTGCAAAAGCAAATCCTTCTCCGATCCAACGTTGGCTGCTAGATACCGTTGCCAAGCGAATTTCCACTCGTTTTGTCCACCCACTCGAATGGCCGTGCAATAAACCACGCTCTTCAAGTTCGGTGGAACCCTAAACATAAAATTTATAATAACTACATAAATATACGTAAATTGCTTTATTAATTATTTTCCAAAGATAGCGAAAAATTTACAATATTGCAATTAATATATTTAACACAAACAGAATGAATCAAACAAGAACTGCGATCATGTGCATTGAAAAATGTGTATCAACAAATAATTTTGTTTTAAATTAGATGATATGTGATATTTCTATTTACGGATTATTAATATCCGGATTAGGAGTGTTACGCCAATAATTGAAGTATTGCACAGCTTTCATAACGCAATGCTCATGGTCGAGATAACATGCCCAATTTAAAATATTAATTCGATTGAAGACTGTCATCTGAGGATCTTCCAGTTTATCAACAAAACCGACTTGTTCGTATATATTATCAAGTAGCTTTAACATGTGCAACTGAAAAGTATTAAATAATATTAAAAATTAGAATTAGTAAGATATTATACATACCTGTATACTTTTATACTAATGTCATGAAACATCAAATTAAACAATCAACAATTGAAATTTGTTTCTCACAGATATCTATTATTCTTGATCGACGATAATTTACCCTAAATTTATCGTAACCTCGTGATTTAATTAACATATTGTTGAGATAACTTAAAGCTCGGAAAGCTGCTTTCCAGGGCAAATATTCGGTTTCATGGGCCAAATAAGAGGTGATATTGAAAGCAATTTCATAATCGAGTTTGCCAGCTCTAGCCAAGTTAAGAGCGTCATCGATCAATTGTGCTCGGTTAATCACCGAAATCTTTTTGAAGTTTTTAATATTATTCAATTGTTTTATTATCAGCTCCCAATTTGCCGTGTCATAATTCACTCTGTAATATCCTATCACAATCACAATATTGAATATGATTATCGTATTTATTTCTTCATATTTCAAATAACAAATAATTCTATTATCTTTTGAAACATTTTATCGGAAATATATTTTTTTCTAAAAGTATCAGCAACTTCCATTTCTGTTTACAATTGCTTTTTAAATAAAATTTTATGTTATTATCAGGAGATTTATTCTCCAAATAAATTCTAATAAATTTAAAACAAAGTTTCACAAGGATATTAATAGAATTAAGTCCAAAAAATTTATTTAATAATTAATTTTTGAAAAAAATCTCAGAGATAAATAATAAACAGATTATAAGAACATTTTTTTATTTTTGCCACAGATAATTACCAGTTTCTTGCACGTTAAAAAGTATCCATTGAGACGGTATCACATCTAAATCGTTAAGAGTAATCGAACGTTCTGCTTTCATCCATTTTGTAGGTTGAGTGTTATTGAAGTTTAATTGCTTCTCAGTCGTATAAGTAATTGGTATCCACCATAATGGTTCCCGCTTATCAGATGTGATTCTCGTAACATTATTGTCAAGCAAAAAACGTTCCTGCAAGAAATAGAAAGGTAATGCATACAATGCTATATAAATTGCTTACCAAACAATTTATTAATTAAATATCTATATCTTATCAATAGCGTTATAATGTAGTATAATATGTATATATTTTATGAGAACAAAATAGATAATCTATTTACAGAAAATCTATATACAGCAAATCTATATACAGAAAATGTTGAATAGAGAATTATTATGAATAAAATATTTCTATTTATTAAGTAATAATTGTTATTAAAATAAGTTATGCTTTATTAAATCAGCATTGCACGTGTACTTATTAACATACCTGCGTTAGTATAATACTACCATTGCTATAGTTTCGTAAGACAGTAACTACGGGAAAGCCGGTTTGCAAAGTCCAAGTATCCATTATTTTCTTAATAGTTATGTTTGGATCAAGTACTTTATCTTTATGAGCTTGTTTGGTCAAAGCGTACCATAAATCATTTGACTCGGCACTTTGATATTTTCTGAAAATACACAGAATTGTTAATTATTTTCAAATTACATAAAAATATGTTTACATTTGTAACATTGCTAAAATATTATTTACATTATTTATAACATTGCAAAAATTTATTTATATTTATAATATGATCAAAATATTACACGTAATTACATATAATAATTATTTTGTAATAGTCATGTTGCAAAATAATATTGGGAGAGGAGGCAATATTATTATTTTTAAATCATTATTTATACAAAAAATTTTCTAATTGATCTTTACTTACTTTTCATTCAAATAATTATGCAAACCTTTCTTAAAAACATCTGTTGTGAGAAAATGATCCATCATTCTTATTATGGCAGAACCTGAATAATTTCAATGTAATATAGTTACACAGCTTTGTTTAAAATCATCATAATAGATCGTCATAAATTATACCTTTTACATAAGTAATGGTATCAAAGATTTCATTGATTTCATCCGGATAATCGACTTCAATAGATATAGGATGGGAAGATTCTAAAGCATCTAAAGTAAATGAAGTTTGAAGTTCGTGAACAACGTATTGTTCCAGTACCCTCCACTCCGGTTCTACCTGCATATTTCATAAATATGGCTATGAAATTTACATTATGATATAATTTATAGAATAATTTATAGATTCAAAATATTTTACATTAAATGTTTTTAAATTAAATTTTTAAATTAAATTTTAAAAAATGTCAATTTATCAATATACAGTGTTACAATTTTTTTTGACATTTTGTATGAAATAGCTTACCGCATTCGTGCCAATGTATTCCATGTAACTAGCGAAACCCTCATTTAACCAAAGATCTGTCCACCAACTTGGAGTCACTAAATTCCCAAACCACTGATGCGAGAGTTCATGTGCTAATATTAAAGCTATTAGCTGCTTACTATCATTATCTGTTATACCATCCTCCTCTTTCTGATACAATATTGCTGTCTCTCTAAATTGATAAAATAACTTATTAGATATTTTCATATCTCACATAATTATTAGCGTCTTTTACATATATTTATTAATATAACTTATAATAATACAAGTATATATAAACTAATTCAAAAAGTTTTATAAATTGCCTCTACATTCCAAGTATCATACTTTTGCTAACACTCGCATAAATTATGTTCTAAAGTAAATTATTTAAATGCCGACATTTTTTGTTAAGATCAAATCAAGTCTATCAGTAGCAAAATATATTGTCTTATTACTTGTTGTTTTAATTTGTTGATTAGTTATGAGTTAAAATGTAAAAATCAATATAATTATTCCATAAATTTATTTGCAAAGAAACTTTTGTTCTATGTTCCTCTGTGATATAAGTTATTAAATTATATTAATAAATGAAAATAATCAACGTAAAAATTTTACTATTAATAAATATGCAATCAACAAAATCATAGACCAAAATACTTTTTATCAAAAAATATCGATTTAGCAAATAAACATGAAATGTTTGCATCATAAAGTATAATAAAATGATAATTGCCAAATTGTCTTTATCTATTTAATATATACAAATAATTATGTACGTATTTAAAATATCTGAAGAATTCGAAAGAATAATATTAGGTGTGGGAAAAAGTTCGTGGCGTTTTTTAATGCCATCTAATGAGAAAAACGTCACGAACTTTTTCCCATACCTAATATATTGTGAAAAATATCTGAATAACTTTATTTTTATACACGCAACACGTTTTGAAATTCTTTTTGTATTACTTAGAATATTGGGAAATAGAATTAATAATATTCTCTTACTAATAATAATAAAGTAAATGTCATTTTGTTAATTCGCACTTGATAATCTTACCTAAACGTCATTAACCCCCAATTCTCCATGGCGCCAGCTTCGAAGTCCGGTAACGCGGCTATGTCCATCTTCGGCAAAGGATACTTGATCTTGAAGTAATCCTCATAGAATTTAAGCATTTTCGGTCCAATATTCAAGCTATATTCTGTTTGAGCAATAGCATCATGGCGCGCCCAAACTCTAAAATCGCCATCTTTTGATTTTCTTACATCAAAATCAAAAATTATGAAAGCCACCAAATATGTAGACATCGGTACCGAACGCTCATAGTGATCCCACACGTATGTATCTAAATCGGGCCTAATTATTAAACAAACCAATGTATGCTTTAAACTCTGTAATACACTCACTTAAATAATTTGTAATTAATGTCTAAAATTAATATGTTTAAAAAATCACACATCATGATTTTAAATTATTTCTTATATCTATATTATTTCTTATCTATTATCATATATGTTTTTATTTATAAATGATAGAAAATTTTCTCTGTGAACTTATTGATATCAAATATATGATATATATTAAACTTGTATAAATTTCATTTGTAAAATACTTAAATAACTGTATTATATAATAACTATATTAAATAACTATATTAATTGTGTTAAATTTTATATTTCAAATCCTTTGCTCTAAATAAAAATCTAAATTATAAAGAGAAAACAAGTTGAATCATAAATTTAAGCGCAATCGCGGAATTATTTCAAAAAATATAAATCAGATTTACAAAAAGACACAGCTGCGCTAATCCAAAAATATAATACTCACACTCGCGTTGTTTTTTCGTTTTTGGGCATATTTGAAATAGATGTCATGTTTTGGGGACGCGCTATGTTGATCTGGAATTTGGCTTTCAAAGTTGGTTCGTCGAAACATGGGAAAGCACGGCGAGCATCCGTCGGTTCAAACTGAGTCGTAGCAATCCATCTATAATGCAGAAACTAAATACCTTTGGTAAACTGTCGACAATCTCTATCTGAAGACGCATGTTAAACACGTGATTAACATGAGTCTTCATCCACAACGAGATTATTCAAAGAATAATTATTCTACAATCAAAACACTTTACGATAATAAGCATGAAATAATATTAGAAATCAAGGGATTTTAGCAAAATAATTTTAAGAATATCTTTTTTCTATTTTTTTTTTTAGGAAATAAACTTAAACTTGTTTTTTAACATTCAAATTTATCTACTACTACGATTGTAACACAGTGCTTCTTCATTTAATTAAGTATTATATAAATTAAAGTTTTAGATTTTTAATTTTATATTAATGATTGCAGTAGCAAATAACAGCTTTCTATGGAAAATTGGTGCTTAAATTTAAGTTATAATAGCTTTAATTTAAGTTTAGTACATTTAATTAAATTAATCAAAACACAAAGTAATAAATTTAAATTTATATTACCCACAAAGTTTTATATTGTTTACCTTGTCTGATTACCAACTGTATACGAGCTTCTGTAGAAACCATGCAAATCGTCGTTCAAATATCCAATGAACTTAAGATGTACAATGTATTGTTTGCCTTTTTTCAACTTCGACGTTTTAATCACATGAAATTGTCTATCGCTATCGTTTTTCTGCTCCGTGATCTTGATTACTGTAATCTTATTGTTGCTCTTATCGTTAGACGAGTACTCCCTGATACTCGTAAAACCCTCATCAATCTTTATGTCGACGGCATGTAAGGTAATATTATTCGTATCGTTTGTCACGTTTATCAAAATTTTGATCTAAACAAATCAATAATATTTCTACTTTTATAAGATAGCTTTTATAAATAAATTAATAATATGTTCAAACGCTACAAAATTTTAATACTACTCTCTGAAATTTGAATCAGTGGATAATCACTAATATCAATGTCAAGTATGCCACTGGTAATCAGTGAATTAAATGTGCGATACCTAACCTAGCTAATTTTTATTATACGATTTACCTAATCTTGTTTTAGTGCTTAAATTCAATGAATATAGTATTGAAATTAACGTGCAAATACCGATATTTTAATTATATAAACATTCTTCAAATATTCTCAAACATTCTTCTTTTTTTAGTTGAACTTCACTGATTATCAGTACAAAGTATGCTGGGTAATTAGTGATTATCCATTGATTCAGATTTAGAGAGTAAATTTTAATTATGTGTAAAATTCTTAATCATTTTTTTATAGTGCCCAAAGAACTTCAGAATTGTATATAATATATTATAGTATATAATATATGGGCCTTTTTCTCATTAGATGTAACGCGAAAAACGCCACTCTTTCCCACACCTAATATATTACATATACAGAATCCTACATAAACAATGCATAATTTTAATGCAACCGTGACCGTAGAATTGTCTTTAAGATCCTTGCCGTCATATTGGAGCATGACGTCATAAACGAGAAGAATGATATGTTAAAATTTCTTGCATGCTATTTGTAAATAAAGAGAATTGGAGTAAATAAAATAATGAGATTTTTTTTTTTAAAACATTTGAAAAACGAACCGAAGTTATTCTTATCCCTCCTAATAGTCAAATAGTCGTAATAGGCACGTAAAGTCCGTTTACCTAATGTTTACTTAATGACAATGACAACTCATTTTTACTTCACGTGTCTTTTATGACTGTTTACTGATTATCAGAAAGTAAGGATAGCTTCCATTTTTCTGAGTGTTTTAAAACGATCTCATTAGTTTGTTTATTCAAATTCTCTTTATTTAAAGTGGTATGCAAGAAACTTCAATGTGTCATTTCACGTTTGGATATGATGTCATGATCCTATATGACTGTGGCAACTAGTCAGAAGTCTTAATATATGCAGTAAAATGTTCTCCTTTGCATGCAATTCGAAAAATTGTCTCAAATCAGAACAATTCACAGAAAAGACAAAAGCAAAGCTTACAGGAGTTAAGAATGACACACATGGAATGGGGTGATTTGCCTAATTTTCCATAAATTTAGAATTTAAACGACAATGCATTAATTGCTAAAGGCACGTTCGTAAACACTCGTATATCATTATAATTATAATATCTTATTTAACATTCAGTGAACAACAAGGATAAAATGATATATTGGAGTATTTGGATGTTGTTTCCAAATATAACTTGACGTTTCTTTATAATAGTAACAATATTTAAATATAGAATTGAGAATTAAATACATAGAAAAATATTATGTTTATAGTTCTCAATAAGAAGTAATCATTCATAACACAGTCTAATCGATTTGTCTATAAATAATTGTAACAAAATCATAACATCAAAAAAAATATATTTTGATAAATAAATAAAAAAGACGTAATAAAATAATGAATCATTATGAAATAATCTTTAAACATAAAAAATACAATTCTACAAAATTATAAAAAATTACATTACAATAGAGATTGAATAATACAATGTCAAACTTTTAATTCTCACATATTCTCACAATTCTTTTAAAATTATTTTTCTCTTAATAAAAGATACAGATACAGA